AGAACAACTGAAGGCTACTACCTACAATTTCAAAAGTGAAATATTTTACTTCAATATTTAACAAGTTAGAAAATAGGAAATATACCTTAGAACTTGGTCCATCAACGGTCTTCTGGGTGGCTGTAACAGCATGAACTGTGGTCTGTTGGGATGAAATGTACTCCAAGTTAAAATATGTACAAAATGAGATGCTGAAGTCTTGCTAATACTAGAAGTATTAATAAATATTCAGTTTAAACAGCTATGCTTTAAAACATTAAGTTAAGAACTTGTGAACAAAAGTATGCAACTTTAGGTTGCCAAAATCTTGAAACTGTCACTTCAGCATGCATGTGAAATATAAACTAACTTGAGAATTTCTAGCAAAAGTTCACAGGAAACAATGAATTAATCTGCAAACACCACTTCTAAAAAAAGTTACATTCTCTTGTCAACTTAAGTAAATCCATACAGCTAACCCTGAGAACTTCCAAATCCCTCTATCTCCCACTAGTAAAACATTTGAAAATTTAAGATCAGTTTATGTCCAAACCAATGGTCTTGCATATACCTATCCAGATCCCAAAGCTTTTGAAAACCCTTTGATTCTACATGCAAGCTAAAATTTAAGAGTTTCTAAAACTTTAGTTGAGTCAACAAAACTTTTAATACCAAATTTAAATATTTTAAGACAGCACCAAATAATTCCTATACCCCCCCTCCCCCCCATTTGTCCTTCCTCAGCATTAATTTCTTAAATTTATATTTTGTGTATAGGAATAAAGGGGGGGGGCGAGTCTAAAGCATAGATGTAAAATTAACTTTGTAAAAAGCTGTGAACAGAAAATACAAAGTGAACATATGTGATCAAAATTGTATAGACGACTAATTGACATCACTTTCTCGACATTCTTCTGAAATTTATAGCAAAAAATATTTGTTTAGAAAACCAATTTAAGCAATACAAATACACAAAATATCTTAAATAATTTTACAATAGCCTGTTTTACAGTTTCAGACTGTTCCCAATGTTTTTTGTTTGCATTTCAAAACAATTTGATATAGCTAAACTAGAATAGTTTTCACCAAAAATGTTAAATATTTAAACATCTATGCAGTGATCACAGCTAAACAGCAGGACAGCTTGTTGGTTACCAAATACAACACACAAATGGAATATTTTGTATAAAACTATGATCAAAACAACAATAAAAAAAAGCAATTATTGTTAAAAAAATATATATAAAAAATTGTATTATACATATATAGTAGCACTAAAAACTTATTTTCATTAGAGGTAGAAGTACATTAAGAGAAACCTACCATAAGACCTTCAACAATACCAAAGTTATCATTGATGACCTTAGCAAGGGGAGCTAAACAGTTGGTGGTACAAGATGCATTACTGACGATTTCCATTGTAGGATCATACTTTTCGTGGTTCACACCCATGACAAACATGGGAGCATCAGCTGAAGGTGCAGAGATGATAACCTTCTTGGCCCCTCCCTCAATGTGTGGTTTTGCTTTCTCTAATGTTGTGAAAACTCCAGTTGATTCCACAACATATTCTGCACCAATTTTTCCCCATGGAATGGCACTAGGTTTCATCCTTATTTATAAACAAACAAAAAAAACACTAAGACATCACATTAAAAGCACTGGAAATTGTGATTAATGTTTTTCTATTTAATCCTAGTGACTACTGCAATGTAAAGGGAGAAGGGCTGAAGTTTGAGGGGTTAGCATATTAACTAAAATATGCTACACTGGGAAGATCCACCTTTGATTGACAAGTTCTAATGATATATTTCACTTTACACAGAAAAACCAAATCACTGAATCAGTTCATAATTCTGCTTTTGCTCAGTTAAGAGTATCAAGCTATGCAAGAGTATCAACATCTCAAAATGTTCATCCTAGTCAAAATGATGAAAAATAAGATTTGAATACTGTAAAGTTATGGAAACAGAAAAGTATAAAGGTAGTACTAAGGGAATATCCCCCCTTGAATCAGAGTTTACCAGAATACATTCATGGGTTGAAAGCTTATAGTGTGACTGGTTATCATCCAATCAAAAATTGCCACACCAGTAAAAGCACACGTTGTCATGATGTACAGCAGTCATGGGTACTCCACGAGAAAAAACTGCAACAAGACCATTTCAATAGAAACTGTATACAAGACTGAATAGGGTTTATGAAACTAACCATTAACACTAGAAGATCTTGAGGTAGGAAACAAAAGACTCCAAGTAATTTTAAGTATTTTGTGGAGTGTTCTGCACCAGACAACATGAGAATCAAGTACAGATATCACCAAAAGTCTCATTGTAAATACATGTCTGAATGTTTCCTTAGGAACAAAATGAGGGGGTTGCAATCCCAGGATCCCATATATCAAAAGGAATCCCTGAATTTTTGGAATTGTATTAACCCTTTCTTAACCACACTGCCATCTCTCCACATCAGACTTTTTCTTCTCAGTGGTGATATTTCAGCAAATTGCATAAAATCTTAAATTTCTAGATAATATCTAGTTTTAGATTGTAAAAATTCACACAATTTAGCATATCTTAGGTTGTGAACTTTCCAAAATTTTGTTGCAAGACAGTTTTAAAAACATTAAAAGTACTACATCTTTGAATTTCAGATTTTTTTTTAATCATTCATAAGAAAACTCCATTTTATACACTTAGTTTTAACTAGATTAATATTTAACAACATTTCTTTTGATGCTTTCTTTGGCCAATTACAATAGCAACTATTATTACTATAAAATACAGCAAAAAAATGACAGATTTATAATCTAAGTTAAACAATGAATGTAAAGTTTAATTACTTTAAAACAAAATGTAAGACTTAAAATCCCAGCTGGGATTTGAGCCATTGACATTCCACAATTTTGAAAAAATCTCAAATTTGGGAATTTTATTGTAAAGTTAAGAAATAAAATTCTCAAATTAGTGATATGGCAGAGAAAATAAAAAATAAAATATGCTCTTCATTTAGAAGGTTCTAGAAGTTAGGCTAATGAAATTTGAAAACTAAGATGGGAAAATGTTTTGTTTTTTATAATAATTAACATGAAAATCACCTTGCATTCGAGCAATTCAGAGTGAGTGCAAATAACTACAATAAATATTTTATTGAAAATACTTCGTAAAAATAATCTCATTCTCGGTAAACAAAATATTTGTAATCTTTAACAAAATCTTTTCTTTTTTCTATATATAAAGATACATTAAGAAAGCTCAGATCAAATACTGTTGCACTGTGTATCATTCTCCATATGAGCTATGCTCACTGGGTTCTGCCAAATCTCCATAGTTAATACATCCACACACATGCAAAAGAAATAGACAATGAAACTGTTGGTGAATCAACAGCTGAAAGCAATGTCCTGCAGTAACTAGTGCAAGACATCTTCTCATATCTAACGAGCTACCTTAAGAAGTAGCAAGTTAGATGTATGTTGCCAAGAATTATTTCAATGAGACAACAGCTGATCTTATTTGTGGGAAATTTTCAGACAATTGAAGAGCACTCAAGAAATGATGGGGTTTAGGCATTAATTACATCATTTATTTGTGACCATTATGGATATCTGAAAACACTTATAAAATCTGATTAAACGGGAAACTTGAAACCTATATAATTAAACAGCCTATCAAAGAACAGGAATGCATTTGAAAAGCTACAATACTTTGATGCATCAAGATATGACATGCAGGCAAATTAAAAATGGCTGTATACACAGAAACTGGGGCTAGAAAATATTAAGTCTAAGCAAGCTTCCAACTGGGACACCAAGTCAGTTGTAGCTGTTGCTTCTGGGGAGAGCTAGCTACTGACCTGACAATCAAGCAAGTCTTTATGCACAGTATCAAGATTAATGAAGGGCTGAGAAGATGATAGGGAATGAACAAAGCCCATCTTTTATCAGCTTTTCATCTCCACATTCACACAAAAATGTCAACATTACCAAACAACCTCACAAATGTATCTTAACACCAGTAAATACAAAGATGTACAGTTGCATGCAAATCAGATCACAAGAAGCATTTTCATTTTGGAAAAATTTAGTTCAGACCCATGTTTAAAGAACAGTTAATGGTCAAACAACTGATGCTACAATTAATGCAGATATGCCAAGCAAGTTGGACAAATAACTAAGCACCACGTTTAATAAAAATGTCTGAATTTTCTTTAAAGACAAATATGAACATTGATGACAGTTACAAATTGATAATGAGTTTATCCAACAATTGGTGACAACAGCAGAATATCTGGAGCCTAATATGCAAACATTGAGATTCTAGTATCTCTCCTGCTCTAACCAGTCCAATCTGCTTAAGAAACTAAATAATTTGCTGACTACTTAGAAGATGGCCCAAAGCCCTGACAACAGAGGGCCCACACAAAACAGATACATCCAGTATACTAGATGGTGGCTTACTTCTACATCAGTACACTTGGCAACATGAAGCAACACACTGGAACAGTAACTCAAAAAAAAAAGTTACCACTGCACAGATCACTGTCCCAATTCAGAAGGTGTTATGACATTGCAAATAATATAAGCCAATATTCTGCCCAAGTTGCTGTTGTAATTTTATTTTACTTTGTCAAATATGCTTATTTCTGCAGTATTTGGTTGTAGCAATTCAAATAGAGGAATGTTTCCTTAAAGACAACAAAATGTGCTCAAAACAGATTCAGCTTTTTGAAAAGAGCATACAAATTCAATATTAGGAATAAGAATAAATTTAAGAACCTAACAAACTGAACTTTGAAGCATAAACTTAATTATCACAGGATCAACTTTTTGCATTTACTGGACTTCCTGCTATACAAACATTTGAGATGGTTGTTCTTACATTAACTTGAGGTTAACTTACATCCAGATGAAGTTTAAATTGTCAAGAATGAACATCACTAATAGCATGGAGGAGTGTTGTTTGTTTTGTTTACACAGAAAAATTAAAAGTATTAAGAACTTACAGAAACCAAACTAAAAGTAATGATGGACTTTTGTTACTTTTATCTTTTTCAGCATTATACCCAAGTAAGTTATCCTTCAATCCAACATGCAAGTTTCAGAAAACTACTTACTCTTGAAAAACATGGATTTTCTGTCCACCAACAATCAGCATTCCTCCTTCAGCTCGGATTTCACCTTTGTAACGACCATGTGTAGAATCATACTTGAACATGTAAACCTATAAAAAGTAAAAAAATATTAGAATTTCAACAGTAGTTTAAAAATTTTGCTTCAAGTATCAGTACTTATGCTTTAGTTTTTTTTCCAGGACAAACTTATGCACAACACTGTAAATACACAATGTTAAAGTTCTAAATAATTATACTATAAATATTGAAATATAGTACTCCCAGATACTGTATGAAAATTAAAACAGATTTATCAGAATATAAAAAGCACTTCCATGGTTCTGAATACAACTTCATGGCAAAGGGCAAAATACCCTTCAAGGACAAATAGCAGAGGTGAAATTGGAAAGTGAAATCTTGAACCTTGAATAACTTAAAAGTTTATGAGCACATATGAAGCAAATTTATTCATGTACTAGTACAATCATTACAAAACAGTACGCTTAGATTATCATGAGAACAGCAGCAAAAACAAGAAGCCAAACTTACGTACTAAAATTTATGTACACTTGTTAGAAAAGTAAAATGAAAGTATTGGAAACTTATTAGGTTTGATAAGGTTAAGTAATGAAAATAATTCTCCAGTACGTATACTCATCAGTGGCTCGTGCATTGTCATTCAACATAGCTTGATCTTCATATTTGCCATGTGATTTACAGATTGTATTGCAGGATTAAATGTGGTTCAAAAAAGCAATAAAATATTAAAATTAAATAACAGATGCAAATTGTTAGGATAAATAGTTATATTACAATCTGTAGTCAGTATCTAGAAAATGAAAAGATAATTTAGATTTATATTGTTTTGTGGGTTTCAAAGTCGGTCAAATCAACCAAGTACGTAGTGTTAGGATAGAGAAAACAACAGTTTTACTGAAATAAAACTTTACATATTCATTTTTGTTTTAGAGGTGATGTGATTGAAAGATGAAAAGGTATTTTTAATCTTAACATGAAAATCATCCTGGACAAGTCAAAGTCACTCCAACTAGTAAAAATTAGAAATGTTTTTTATGTTACAAAGAAAAACTGAGTTTTCTAAAAGCTTGCCAAATTTTGTGAAAACATTACATTAAAAGTTATAGTGTATAAACTTAACCTTTTGGTTACAAAGTTGAAGTGACCTAAAACACTCGAATAGTCAAAAGCTATTGTTTTCTCATGCAAAATTACAAAACTTTTAATAACTTGGTTATAAAAAAATTGAGAACAAATGTTTCCTTCCAAACCTCCCTGCAACCACAAGTGACAAAGATGCAAGTAATGCTTAATTAAATGTGCCAAAATCACCATTTTTTTTCACTGCTGTTCACAGATTGCATTTGAGGTAGAACTTCTGTTTACAATATGTAACAAAATACAACTTGGCTTTCATTAACAGTACTCTACTGATACCACTTGACACTGGCCATATTAAAAACTAAATTCATTTGTAAATGGTAATTCTTAGTATTCACATGCAGACAAATTTGTTTATGAAAAATACGGACAAATTCAATGCTCGGAGTACCCAAGCTCCCAGTTAATAAGAAGCTGGATTTCTATACTTTGTAGGAAGGCAGATGTATCTTGGGTTTTGAGGTATCTGAAAAAGTAATACCTACAAAACAGTACAAATACCCAATCTACAAGACTTAACATCAATTTGCGGGCTACAAGAAAGCAAGTGCAGGTCTAAAATTTCATATCCATGACAACATTAGTGTTTACAGTCATAATCTGGAACTTAGTATTACTGGTTGTCATTCCTGTTACATTTCTTTAGTACAGATTTTTTCTTTACACTGCTTAGTTAAGAAGCAGATGATTTAAACATTCTACAATGTGTACAAGTGTGCCACATTTATAAATAATATTTTATTGTTAAGGTAAACATGTTTTGCTGCACTTTAACTTTTAAGAAATATCCAACTTGGTGAGTATCAAATTAAATTTACCAACATATCTATATGATATGCAAAAATAACCTTTTTGCTTGAAATAGGGTAGAATTCAGTATATTTAATAGAGAATAAAAGACATTTCAGCTAACTTGACTAATCATTCATACTGTACACAGGGTCTGGTAAAATAAATAGGCACCCTAATGAAACTTACCTTACAAAATTGGCTTCCATGGATTAGTTAACAATACTAAATTTTAGAGCTCCAACAGTCATTTTCACAACCATTAAGAGTTTTAGGTAACCATATTACAACTCGCTCATGTATTTACATGACCTTGTAACCATAGTGCTATACATACTATGACTGAAAGTATTTTATGCATCTGCAAAAAATTTGAAAAGCTTACAATAAACTTTGTGTTTTCTAGACAAAGAAGAAAAAAATCTGAATTTTTAAGTATTATTACTAAAATTGTAATTATATGGTGTCAGAGTGCTGACTGCTCCAAGTGAAAAACACTTCATCTGACTTTACATTTGTTCGTGTAATCCCTAAAGCCTCTTATGTAAAAATTTCTTTTTTCAGAAACTTTTTTTCTGTCATTTTCTATACCAAAACTATACAGGGATGGTTGATTTGACTGATCTTTTGACCCTCCCAAAAAATCTAAATTACCTTTTTTCTTTCTTTATTGTTTATTTTAAAAAACATATCTTGTAACAGTATACATATTATTTATACTTAATTTTATCAATTTTTTTTTCTTTTGGAGCCATGTTTCACTAATAATCCTGCCACACAAGTTTTAAGTCACTTGGCAAATGTGTGGCTCACGTTACCTATTCAAATTATGTAATGTACAGGCTACTTGCAAGTACACCTTTGTGAAGAAAAAAAAAATCTCTATTTTGCTTAGTCAAACCAAAGTTTCATTTGTATATGAAAAACAAGAAATGTAGTACTTAGCTGGGTCTTTTTTTGCTGTCGATTGTCAATAAAACTTACCCCTACCTTTATTTTTTCATCAACAGTTAATAGCAAAGAAAAAGAAACTCCTAGGTAAGTATATTATTTCTTGTTTTGCATGTGTATTTTATTTTAAAAGTAACTAAAATGTAAAAATTAGAAACTTTGAGTTAGATAAGGTAAAATAATTTTATGTGGTAGCCCATGCATAACTTAATTTAATAAGGTAACACAGAATTAGTTAGACATGATTCAAAGGGCAATAAAACAATAAAATCCAAGTAGAAACAGATGTATAGTGTTACAAGTTTAAAACTATCTAGAACAGAAATATGTAGTCTCATGTTACACTTTGTAATCTAGATACATTTCATTATGGTTATTACAAGGGTCAAATTGACCAACCTCATACAGTGAGAGTAGAAAAAAAAAACTTGAGATTTATTTATATTTTACAGATTAGGCAAGTAAAATCTGAGAATTTAACTGAAAAGTATTTCTAATCTTAACATCAAAATCACTTTGCACTTTGAGAAGTCAACATTTTGGCTCCATATATTCATGGAGAAATTTTTAGTGAAAATACTCCATTAAAAATCCTGATTTTTTGTCTACAAAACTTAATGTTTACCGAAGGTTTGCAAAGTTTTGTGAAGATACACAAAACCTTACAAGTTATAGTATGAAAACTATAAAGGTTAATTTGGAGGATCACAAACTTGGCCAATTCAGCCGACGATGTAGAGAGGGGGTTAACTTCTGCCAAACTTTAAGTTCTTACAATTAACTCTTAAAGAACACACTTTCATTTCGGCTTCTTAAAAGAATTTCACTTGCACTCTTCAAATAATGTTTACTGTAACTTTTGTATATGAAATCTAGTACATTTTGTTAACATTAATCTTGTGCATTTTTGCCAGAATTTTATATACCCGAGTATCAAAGTGAACACGTAGTTGTATCAGTCTACTCCAATTTATACATAAAGCACCTTTAGATAAAAATTTTACTTAAATAAGGAGAATTACAAACCATGTAATTAACATCAATAAAAGGATCATTAACAGCTACAACTTCAATTCCTTTGTCCAAACAAGAACGGAGAACTAGGCGGCCAATACGTCCAAATCTACAAAAACATAGGGGGGAAAAAAATTAGATAAACTTTGCAACTAAAGAATCAAAACAAGATTTGCAATAGATTTTAGTTCTATTTTATACTAAAAACCATGCATTTGTGTCAGTTTGAGATATAGGATTACCTTCATTAATTTACAAGTTATTTTAGCTTTGATTTACAGTTAGCTTATTTCAAAAGTTCTTAACTGAATTTATCAAATAATTCACATTCTTAATCCTTCCATGATCCAATAGGATAAAGTTATAAAGTATAGAGGTTATCCCTGATATACCTTATGTACTTTTACAGAATCTTAATCGCTAATGCAATAAACAATTTTCAGAAACATTCAGAAGTGTGAAAGTAAGTGAAATGGTCTTTACTAAGAATTGAAAGATACATTACCCAGCTTAGTCATTAATTGGTGTTAATAACCTGTCACAAAAGGGTTAAGCCCTTCATACATATGATTATTCTTTTCCAAAAAATAATGCTAAACTTTACCCATTGATGCCAACTTTTGCCATTGTGTTTTAGGAGGTAGACTTCAGAGGAAAGTTTAGTCCCTAAAAATCAAATAAAAAAAAGGGTGTTTAAATACACACACTCAAGTTGCCAAAAAGAATTAAAGTGAAAGAATACTAAAAGAAAATTTACCATTATAACATTACTAAATAGTTGTAATAACCTAAAATAGTAATAATTAGAAACTAGTTGATTATTTATGACAATCAATTATATTGATTAATTCTGCAGCTCCTTCTTTAAACTATCAAAAGAAAATTTTAAGTTGTTGGCCACAAAATAAATACAAGTGTTGTTTTCCCAAATGTTTTACTTTTCAGCAGTATTTACCATTAGGCATTGCTGAATTGCTATCTTTGTCTGTGATCTATAGCAAATAATGAGAAAATGTGAAAATATCTTACAGCCATAAAATATTTGAAATGTCTAGTTTTATTATTGTGGAGACTAAAAAAAAAGCTTAAGTACTGTTGAAGTAAATTTCACTTCAACCACAGCATAACACAAGAAACTTGCAAATAGTTTGAATTTATTATCTAGTACTAGCAAAATTTAACTTTCATTAAAAATTAGCCCATCTGGACAGAATCTGGTGAGTTAGCACTGTCATTGTTTCTTTAATATGGCCCCAGCATAATTTTAAAGTAATGAAATAGCAATAACCTTACAAACAAGTCAAATTTCCATTTAATTTATTTTACAATAGAAACAATGTTAGGTTAAAGAATTTAAGGTTAATTCAAGAGAAGTCATGAATAACTAACCTTGTATAATATATCCACATTGTATCAAATTAAGCCTTTATAATTCCAATATATGCACTGATATACACTGTAAAGGTTCAAGGTTATTTCCTTTAAACTTTAGATGACAATTCACCAAAGCCTTCATCATAACATCTAAACCACTTTAGGCTATATCTTCATTTAATGATAAAAACCATAGTTGTTGGCTTCTCTTTGCATATAGATGATTTATACATTAATAACAACTGAAATAATAATTAATATGTATTTGTTACTTTATAGATTTAATAGATATTTGTTGTTACTTTATTAACGATTTTACGCTTATACTGTGAGGTAAAAATGGCTGCTGCTATGATTTTGTCTGGTTTATGAGCTCGTTCCTGTCCTAATTTAGGATCTTTTTAATAAATTCTTTAAAATGTTAAAAAAGAGAAAGAAAGGGGGCCTGTGCTAGTTCTCGCCATTCCTGTTCAAGACTCGAAGCTTTTAAGTTAGTCTCATTACGTGCAATAATGTTGCTACTAGAGGGCTAGACATTTCTAGATTTTTCTGTCACGTGTTATAAATACATGCAGATATAGAGTTAAGTTAGTGAAAGAAAAAGTGAAGGTAAACTGTGCAAGTGTCATTTTAGCTATAACATACGAAATCTAAAGTATGTTTCGTAGTTTGTACTGCAACAGAGATGAAGAAGAATTTGTCCTGTCAAAGGATATTCTAAAGTAATTGAACCTGCCTATGTGGACTTTGACAAAAAGGAGAATTATTTAAAACTCTTGATACAAGTGTGGTAAACCAACAGTTATAGTGGTGATTTCTAAAGTGAAGTTTCACAGTTTGTATTGTAACCGAGATAGAAAAGAATAATTTGTCTTGTCAATTGCATTTTAAAGTAACTGAACCAGCCTGTGTGGACTTTTGACGTAAAAAAAATTATTTAAAGCTCTGGATACAACTGTGGTAACCCACAAGGTAATGCAAGTAAATTTATCATTGATTGTATTGTGATAACAGAGGAGAGAAGAAATAATTTTTCTAGTCAGTTGGGTTCTAAAGTAACAGAACCAGCCTGTATGTACTTTTATCTTTTAGTTTTGACAACAACAAAAAGTTAAAGCTCTAGATTCAACTGTGGTAAATAACAGCAACAAATTTTTTTACACAAGTTTGACTTGTTTTCAATATATATTATTTCAAAACAAGTGGATTGTGTGCTGTCTGTTTATTGTTGACATTTATCACCAACACATCACAGACACCTACTGTAAAGAATCCAGCCCCTATACAAAACCTGACATGGACCTTGGCTTCACAGTCATCATCTAAAATTGCCAAGTGTGGAAAATAATTGTGGTTTGCATTAACACACAACTTTTTTCAAGAAAAAACAAATAGATATGCACAACATTAAAATCATCAGTTACACTTGCCTTCTACATGGAGCAATACTGGGTTTATAGCAGTGTCAGTGCACCATGAACTATTTTACTGCTGTTTGTTTAAAATAATAATCTTTCAGAAATCTTATAAACAAAACTCCTTTTTTAGTAGCAAGGTATTTTGAATAGTTAAAAAAGTACTTTACTATCAGTAAAACTGTTCCTATGATACCAAGACCAAAGCACAAAGGTTACTGACAAGTGACAGTAAAGTGGTCTATCCCTTTACTTAATTACACTACTTTGTGAAAAGGAGTATAATTTATACACTTTTTAAATCAACTTATTACATATAACTTATAAACTGAAGTATGAAGCTAATAATTCTAAAGCTTAATATATTTCAAAGTTAAACTTTTAAAGCTCAATTTAAAAACCTTTTGCTTTACTGTCCTTATTCAGACACAGCCAGAAACGGTATTTTTAATTTAATGTTAGTAAATGCTCTTAGTCTTAGTTTCTTACTCAGTGTTATGACATTAACAATACAAGTCACTCTTTAGTTAATAATGTCTTTGTTGATGTTAATCTATGCGGCAAAAACCACATTTTGTTCAAATACACCAAAACAGTTTTTAAAACTGAAAACCGTTCTACGAGTACGGCTTACTTTAAATCTATATTTTCACTTTTAGAAATAGTTTAAACATTTTCGGGTTAAGTGACGATAAGTACATATTCCTGTAAATATAAGTAATGTAACGCCGAAAATTGATAACGTTAAAAACTCACATAAACTTATAAAGACCTCTATACAAATCCAACTCACCTTCACCAAGGTCAAACGCAACTTACGTAAGAGGAACAAAACTGCGCCAAAGCTTTTATACATAATACGATATCTCGTGGAATTGTGGGATATAATCTTCTCCCAGGGACCACCAAACGTATTCGTGAACACGTAGACCACTTAGACTACGTCAAGTTATTGCAGAAGCGCTGGGTTGAGACATCCTAAATCTTAAAAAAGATGTCGGTGTCTGGGTCTCCGTCTAATATTAAGCAACCGGCGGCCATTCCTAAATATATTCGATTCCTCTTCGGAGGAACGGCTGGGTATGCAGCATTTTATTATTTTATAAAGTTGTTGCATGTTTACACCAATTTTACTGGAATTGTTTAAAAACAACAATATCTTACGCAACATTAATTTCAGAATGATATTATAATTTATAGCTTTAATTTAAATTGTATACACGACTAACTTCTTAAATATATTAATTATTATATTATAATATATATGAATGGCATATAAATGATAATATATTTATATCATATGCTTTTATTTTTAGTACTAAGGAAAACCTTAAAAACAATTTGCATTTTCTTTATTTTTTCACCTAAAATATCCTATTCCATGCCTCTAAATTTTTATATTAAAATATTTTACTTACACAACCTATGCCTTAACTGCTTAAGACTTTAACTTAAGTCTTTCAAAATGTATTACTCATTTACCGGGTGAGCTGGTGCATCTGAAATATATGTACATAGTTTGTTAGTCGTAATAGTTGAATATGTCCTGTTATTTGTTCTTCAGTCCATATGTTAGGTTTTATTATGGTTTATAACGATTGCATTATTGAGAGCAAGAAAACAACATTTAAGGACAACAATAGTTGTTGTTCCATCCACTGAACTTAAAAAAATTCAGAGTCATCCCTTATCATTTAAATATTTATCAAGATTTCTTTTACATTTATTACATACACAACAACTGAAGCCAGCCCATTCCAAAGGTCAATGACTATTAGAAAAATAAAACTGTCTTAAAAGTTAACTGAAGGTGAACCTACCCTACCAAGATTTATATTTGTGCCCCTAGTCCTACCAGTTTCACAATTTAGTATGAAAAAAAGATGATGCATCAACACTATTGATTCCCTATTGAATAGGAAGAAGATGAACCAGCTAATGTATTTAAATTAGAACTAGTTTAACAGGTGAAAAAGGAACAACAAATGTTTGGAACTAAAATTATAAAAGTTAAATCTAACTCATCCTGTTTACCTTTTGAGAGGACATTCAACTTTTATATAGATTTGTAACTCCTGGAATAGATTGTCTCTTTTTACTCCCAGAAGAGGTGGGTCTTCAATAAATTGTGGTATTCAACCTTGAATTAATGTACAATTGATTATATAATAGTTGAACTTTTTTATTTCTTCAAGTTCAGGTTTTATACGTGAACATTTATTTTTCATTGTTTAACAAGTTCTAGACTTCACAGCCCACACAGCTACATTATTGAAAAAATAAGTTAATTAACTAATTGAGTTGTAGGTAGATTCACTTGTTTTTTATTATATTTCCAGCTTATATGTCTTGTATAACGAAATAATACATTTTTCCATGAAATGCAAAGGTTACAGTTAAATCAACAGAATTAAAAAATAAACATGAGAAGGGAAGTACTGTAGTCTACTTTAAATTTACTAAATTATTAGCATAATGATTTGTCAAGTTTTTTCTTTTAAAGTACTATACTTTCAAACCCATTCGTTTTTATTCTTTTTAGGCCATCATGAAGAACTTATTGTACTTGTTCTATAAGTTGTAAAGACAATTTTAAATTGTGCTGCAATCAATGTTCCCTTTAATTTTTTCAGTCCATGTGCGAAATGAATTTTTTCATGTGCATCAGTGTCAAGGCAATGTGCGGATGCGCTACCAGTTTTTCTTTTTTTGTTGTGTGTGTGTGTGGGGGGGGGGTATTTTTAGACCATCGATCCTATTGGATCATTATGCCGCTTTGCAATGCTACCAGTTGGTTATTTGTGCTTTAAGCCTATCAACTGCCAGGATCACTAAGGTCATCAATATGTTAAGACTCCTCACCATTACTGAGGATGTGCAGCTTAGAGGGAACACTGGCTGTGACTTGTATAGCTGATGTGATTATTGATTAAGATAAGTTTTATGTGCATCATGTATATTTATGTTGTGAGATGCTTACTTAAGAAACATTTTCAGTATTTTTTCAAGACTGCACATAATTGTTTATCACATAACATGTTTTTTTTCAAATATTCATACAGTATATTTAAAATAATAATACATAATTACCTTACACTCAGGATAATCTTCATAGAATTCTAATGTTGTTGAAATTATTCTGTGGAAAGTTGTTGAAGTTATTGCTTAGTCATGCATATAATAATGAGTTACATTTATATGAATTTGGAAATACATGTAAGTTGAATTGTGTATATGTATCTGTATGTAAAAATAAACTTTCGGCCTATTGTAGGATGGCAGCAACTTTATTTGTCCAACCACTTGACCTTATTAAGAACCGCATGCAATTAAGTGGTAAGTACTACATGCTTATTATTTTCAGGAATAACTAAATGCAATTTAATCACTGGATAACTCTTAGAACTAGCATAAGTATTTTTATTCATCTTGTACTGTTTCATGGAGATATGTTCCACAATGCATTCCATCCATATTTCTAAGTGTGTTTGGTGTTACCGCTACTGAATGATGCCTACAAGTAAAGAAAATGTCTTGGCACTAGTTAGGCTGTTGACCGATGTGTAGTGTATCATGATGGTAGATGCTACAATCATTCACACTTGTTATGTTACCAAAAATAAGTACTTTTTTTTAAGAGTTTATTCATAATGATATAATAATATACTTTTTTCTGTTTTGAAGTACAACCCAAAAGTGTTCATGAGACTATTAAATAACTTGTCAATGTTAATTTAAAAGTAAGCTCACCATTCCAAACATTCATACCAATCAGTTTTACAATTTTTAACCTGAAACTTTTAACTAATAGTTATTAATACTCTATTATATAGTTAACACTTCATTATTGGGCCATTCAGAACATGACACTACTGCAGGTTGGGAAGTTTAAAATTATTAGTTGTAAGAGGTTTTTATTTATGAAAAATTTCATGTTTTTGCTGTGGTCTTGTAACTCATCAAAGATTCTCTTGAAATAAAGTACACTTTGGTTTTATTCTATACTAATGGGCTTGTATACTTATGTATATACCATTGAGGATGAAAGATTAAAGTTCATTTGAGTTATATTTAGTAATGAACAAGTCATAAAGGTTGAATCATCAAAACTGGAACATGAATAATCACTCATATTTTTATACATTGCTATTATGTGTTACTTCTTAGGTAAAAAAACCAGGTGTTGAAACTGCATTTCTTAGTAAGTGCATATAAGCCAGTGGTCAGAAACTTGACTAATTTGATTGAGGAACAGTACTGTGTTACTTTGTGATATTCAAAACATAGGATGGTTGAGTGATATTTCATTATTCATTTTCAGGAGAAGGAGGCAAAGCCAGAGATCACAAAAGTAGTTTTCATGCAATTAGGTCAATAGTAAAACAAGAAGGTCTCTTTGGTCTCTATTCTGGGTAAGACTCCCCTTTTAGGGTTTTGAAATATAATTTTAGTTTACTTCAGTCTTTTCAAAATGCTCTTCAAGGTACTTAAGCTTACAGGAAACAGTTTTCAAAACAATATAATATTTAAGTATAGCTATCATACTTTCTATAACTTTGAACAAAAGACATTTAATATATATTTTTCTAATAAATTTCAAATTGTGTCTGATTTAGTCTTTTTCTCATTGTTTAATGTCTTCTCTTTGTCTAGTATCAATAATTTTTGTCCTTAAGAATATTGGGTTTTGAGACGAGGTTATATACCATTTTCATAGAATGTGTCTTCTACTTCTATCATAAATATTAAGTGTATATTTAATGATATCTTTTTAAAGCTGACGATGATAAAAACATTAATCTTCAGGTAGCAATATCCTGTTTGTAATATTTAGAAGTGATTAGTAGTAGTAGTATTCTCTGTCATGTAAACTCTTATGGAATAATATAGTACCTGAAATTGAGAATAATACAATTAAAACTATAAAATAGAATGTGATAGGGTAAATAATTGGTTAAAGTTCAGGGAAGTTGTGTAAATATTTAAAATATTCAAATACCCAAATGATCAATCTTGTATAATACACATTTAAAATTATATTTTAAAAAATGATCAAAGGTCGTAAAAGACATTTTACATATTTCAGTGTTGTTCATGTCATCCTCAGGAGTGTGAAAATCAAATGCCATACAACATATAATTATATAAAGCCATGGTCATGTGACTACTAGTTTACATATTTAAAAAAGATCATGCCACCTACTTACTTTCTGATTTTTAGCCCTTCATCCTTGTTTAACATTAAATTATTTTTTACTGTGTTTCATTATTTCTATGGCTTCTCTAATATATCTAGCCATCAATAGTTTGTTTTAAATTCAGGTAATGCTCCCCTAAACCTTTGTGATTGTCATGAAACTTTAATTCACATCTTAACAGATTATCTGCTGGACTTCTCCGACAAGCTTCCTATACCACAGTACGAATGGGAGTGTATTCTACTCTTTTTGAGAAAATCTCGTAAGTGTGTAATATTAGAAGAATATGCTTGTGAGTAAAATTATTCAATCTTTAAAAGATAAAATTCATTTATAAAAAATATATACATTTTTACAAATTCACAATAAAATTGATTAATTAAGATCTTATAGAATATATTGAATGAACCACCAGCTCTGAAGAAAGTTAATTAGGGTGTGTATGCAAATAAAAATAAGTTTTTGCAAGTCTATTATAATCAAAAATCTTTCATATCTTTTCTGTTGAATATTTACTAATCTATTTTTATTTCATACTTATTAAGCAAAAACCATTTTTATTACAATTTGTTATTATAATGTTATTGTGTTTTTTTGGAATAGAAATAGTTTTTTTTTCCCTACCTGTTCACTAGTAAAGATGGGAAACCACCAAATTTCTTTATGAAAGCAGGAATTGGAATGACGGCTGGGGCAGTTGGTGCATTTTTTGGGACACCTGCAGAAATTTCTTTAATTCGTATGACAGCAGATGGTCGGTAAGTTAGGGAGTTAAGTAACAAAAATGAAAATTTTAAAAAGTAGCATTTTTATGTTTTTTTCTTTCTCTGAATTTTAACATTTCTTACATTTGAATTAACATTACATTCCCAAATTATTATTATGTAAGAGTTTTTTACACAGTTAACCGTATTGAAACAATATACAAACATTGTTAGTAGGTTATGCAACTTTTGTGAAATTTATTCTACAAATGAAAGTAGTGGATGAAATTGTTTCAAAGTTGACAATAATTTTCTTTAAAGTATATAGTTTCAGAAAAATAAAACTTTTAATTTTGATTTTTTATACTATTTTAAATAAAAATTTGTTATTTAATATAGTTATTTGCACTTGGACTTTGAATAGTTTACCTGCAAGGTGATTTTCATGTTAAGTATAAAACTACTATTTTTCATCTTACATTTTTCACATTTCACTTGCATAATTTTTAGAGCATTCTAAACGAATATCAAGAGTTAATATTTTATTTTACATTTTCTTTGCCATATCACCAACTCTAGCTATTATCATTAATGTTCTGTGCACTGAAATGTTTAAAACTAAAAAAATAGAAATATGTACATACCTTTTAACTCTTCATTGAATAATCTTAGAATATTTTCTTTGCATAATATATGTAATTTCACATCTTTACCTTTTCACTTATAGTTTATTTTTAGGGTTCTGTTGTCCTTTGCTATTCTTTATCTTTGATTATTTATGTTGACACACATCAACAGGTGCCTGGGCAATATAACATTATAACTGGCAGAAATGGTTTAACCTCTGGCAAGATATATTTTTCACTCACCTTGTTAGGAAGAACTTGTTGAGTGTGGTGAAGCTTAGAATAATATTAAAAAATCATCTAACCTTTCAAATATTAATTTTAACCCTTCGTATGCAGCTTTTGTAAATCTCCCTACCACCCCATGTGCAAAGATTTGTGAATTTTTAAGGTTCATAAAATTAATTTTTTTTACATAAAATGAAGGACTATCATACATAGAGACAAGATATTAAAAAAAGATCAATTACTCACATTTCCTTGGCATTGACGGCATCTGAAAGATGCGCATATTGAATGGTCTGGTGCTAGGTTGGTGTTGAGTATATGCTAGAATAAATCAATTTAATAGCACTCCAGAAATAAACCTTGATAAAAACAGTGTTTAACACTATATATTAAGTTTTTTTGTCATGCCATGGCCCAAAAAGCATAGAGAATTGTCAGTAGAGCAGAGAGTTTGCATAAAAGCTTTACTTGATGCTGGTTGGACTCTCCGACAAATTGCTGCAGACTTGAAATGCTTCTCAAACAGTGTCAAGTACACCCTAGATCATGAGATTAAGACAGGTAAATTTGAAAATAGGAAAGGATACTGATGTTTTGTATCTTCCTTTATTCATGAGATAAATGACCATGTACCAATTGATAGAAAAGTGTGCAGATCTACAGTATCAAGAAGACTCAACAAGAATGGAATATTTGGTTGTGTAGCAGTTACAAAACCTTTATTTCAGTCTCCAACTATTGTCAAGAGACTGAAATTTGCTTAAAAAGTACAAAAACTGGACTGTTGATGATTGTAAAATGGATTTATGGACGGATGAGTCCAAGTTTAAAATATTTGGTTCAAAGCGTAGGTTGTACGTCTGGCAGAAGAAAGGTTAAAAATACTTACCATAATGCATAGCACCTACCATGAAGCATGGGGAGACAGTTTGATAGTTTGGGGATGTTTTTCTGCTGAGGCAACAGGAGATATTTGCACGATAGATGGAATAATGGACCAGCGCAAGTACCATCAG